CCCTGTATTGCAAAAAACCCCAGAAAACAAACAAAAAACCCAATACCAACAAATGGATTCTTATTAACAAGACTGTTCAAGACTGGCACAATACAGAGTGCTTAGGTCACACAAAGCGAATCCACAGGACCGTGGCTGGGGGTCAGGTCCACACCACCCTGGAGCTGTCCCATTGCAGACTGCTATGAATGGAGTCACTGTAGTGCATGTTCTCTTCCACTCACTGCCCTTCAGTGTCCATTTGTGAGCTTTGCCTCTCTGTATATAGTGAGCAGGGTTTGCGCTCCCTTGGGGACTAAAGGGGGCTGAGGCAGGAGTACTGCAAATTAGTCTGGCTTGGTAAACTTACAGACTTAGTGAGACCTCATCTCAAAATAAAAAGGTCTGGGAGCCGGGCGTGGTGGCACACACCTGCAACCTTAGCACTCAGGGGGCTGAGGCAGGAGGATGGCCATGAGTTCCAGGCCAGCCTGGGCTACATGGTGAATTCAGGTCCAGCCTGGGCTACATAGCGAGACCCTGTCTCAATAAAGCAAAAAGAAAGAGAGAATGCAAACACACAAGCCACTGCTCGGTTCTTCCTGGAGGACAGTGGCAGGAGCTTCTGGAGGTGGCACCACTGTGCTGGGCACTGTCCCACAAAAGAGGCCAAAGACAGTCCTGCCGTGGCAGTGTCTGAGCCCGAGGGCCTGTTTCTTGTTTCTCCCACGCCCCATTGCTTTGCCTGGCCTTTCTTACCCACCTGCAGGACTCTGCGCCCCTCTGCACAAGTCCTGTGAGGGACCACAGGTGGCAGGCATCTTCCCTCACAGGCTGTGCCCTTTTAGGCACCCCATGCATACCTTGGCTGTGCAGAGAAATAGTCTGCTTTCTCCTGGAAGCGGAGTTGCCTCACCTTTCAAACTGCTGTCTTCAGTGCAAATCCAGTCTTGTTTTCTTTTTTTTTTGGTACTGGATGGAACTCAGGTCCCTGTACTTGCGCAGCAGGCGGCAAAACCACTGAGCTAAATCCCCGGCCCAATCCAGTCATTTTTAAATGCAGGGATGGGACTACAGCTCAGTGGTAGAGCCCTTGTCTAGCACGTTCCAGGCCTGAGTTAGATTCCCCGGTTCAATCACAACAGAACAAGAAATCAAAGAAAATGTACACATATTGATGGTGTGCTGGGTACTGTCCCCCTAGCAACTGTCCCCAGTGGTCCTGCTCCCTTGGGCTCCCTGCCTTTGGGCCCCACCTCAGGGTCCTGAAAGCTGGGACTTCCTCCTTCGGCTTCCCACCCTTCCAGCCCCGGGCACCAACTGCCTCCCGCCCTGTCTGCAGGTTCTTTTTTATTTTTTTTGGTACCAGGGACTAAACTCTGGTCCTTGTGCATGCGGGACAGGCGGTGGAACCACTGAGCTAAATCCCCGGCCCTGTCCGCAGGTTCTTTTGGGTTTGTTCTCTGCAGTCCAGGCCCCGCTCCTCTCCCAGCACGGGTGTCCTATGGGCTTATTGGCCCCCGATGTCAACCGGGGGTGCTCTGTGCCACAGGTCCCAGCAGCCTGCCCGCCATGGACCCCGACCCCCAGGCGGGTGTTCAGGTGGGCATGCGCGTGGTGCGTGGTGTGGACTGGAAGTGGGGCCAGCAGGACGGAGGCGAGGGCGGCGTGGGCACCGTGGTAGAGCTGGGCCGGCATGGCAGCCCCTCGACACCTGACCGCACCGTCGTGGTGCAGTGGGACCAGGGCACCCGCACCAACTACAGAGCCGGCTACCAGGGTGCCCATGACCTGCTGCTCTACGACAACGCGCAGATTGGTATGTGGGTGGGAGGTTCAAGAGGTGGGAGGGGCTGGCCAGGTGGGCGAGGCCCCCCAGGGCCCCTGCTGACCCCAGGTCGCCCTGCCCCCAGGCATCCGCCACCCCAACATCATCTGCGACTGCTGCAAGAAGCACGGGCTGCGGGGCATGCGCTGGAAGTGCCGAGTCTGCTTCGACTACGACCTCTGCACGCAGTGCTACATGCACAACAAGCACGACCTCACCCACGCCTTCGAGCGCTATGAGACAGCCCACTCGCGCCCGTGAGTTCCCTTGACCTCTGAGGGCTCCACCGAGAGGGAAGGCGGGTCCTTTCCAAGCCATTCTTGAGAAAGGGCCAGGGTCACCTCACTCCCGGGAAGGTAGTCGATTTCCCAAGCAGGTCCCAGTGCAGGTGCTGTAGCCTGGGTCACCTCTGTGCCTGCACAGCCTGAGGCCAGGTGATGCCTCAGCAGAGCTGCAGCCGGGTGCTGCCCATCGAGGCAGCCAGCATCCCTGCAGGCACCAGGTCTAGCAGCAAGGCCTGTGGCCAGGCGGTCACCCTGGGGGCCAGCTGCTTGGACAGCTGGGAATGGCCCTGGGCTGCGGGGCTGGGAGAGGGCAGGCAGCCAGGGGCATCACTGGGTATCCCCTGTCCTGACCCTGCAGGTGGAGGGAAGTGTGCTTTAGGTCCCAGCTGCCTGTTGGCACCTTTGTGCTGCCGGCCCGGCCTGGCCTGCCGGGTAGAGACTGAGGGCCTGGGTGGGCTCTGAGCCCGGGGGCTCGTGGAGCCTCCTCCTGGGATGCACAGGGCCTGACCTGCTGTGGGGCGAGGGCCTGGGAGCCAGGGTTTCTGCCCTGCAGCCCCTGGTGGTGACACCACCCCACACAGCTCAGGCCTGGCTCTTGCAGGGTCATGCTGGGTCCCCGCCAGGGCCTCCCGCGCGTCCCGCTCAGGGGCATCTTCCAGGGAGCGAAGGTGGTGCGAGGCCCCGACTGGGAGTGGGGCTCCCAGGACGGTGAGTGCTGGCCGGGACAGGCGGGTGGGCAGCTCGGACCTGGGAAGCAGTCTCAGCTGTGGAGGGGACGCTGTCTCCCCAGGAGGGGAAGGGAAGCCGGGCCGCGTGGTGGACATCCGTGGCTGGGATGTGGAGACCGGCCGGAGTGTGGCCAGTGTGACCTGGGCTGACGGAACCACCAACGTGTACCGCGTGGGCCACAAGGGCAAGGTGGACCTCAAGTGTGTGGGCGAGGTGGCCGGCGGCTTCTACTACAAGGAGCACCTCCCACGGCTCGGTAGGGCCTGATCCCGCAGCCTGCCTGCCCTGGTCTGGGTGCCCAGGCGCTGCTGAGGCCCGGCCTGCCACCCTCCCCAGGCAAGCCGGCGGAGCTGCAGCGCAGGGTGAGTGCCGACGGCCAGCCCTTCCAGCGAGGGAACAAGGTCAAGTGTCTGTTGGACACAGAGGTCCTGAGGGACATGCAGGAAGGCCACGGCGGCTGGAACCCCAGGATGGCGGAGGTGAGCCGCCTGGCCCGCGGAGTCCTGTGCGCCCTGCCCTCCCGAGCCCTCTGCCTGCCCCAGTCATAGCCTCCGTGCCCCGCCACAGTTTATTGGACAGACGGGCACCGTGCACCGCATCACAGACCGTGGGGACGTGCGCGTGCAGTTCAGCCACGAGATCCGCTGGACCTTCCACCCTGGGGCTCTCACCAAGGTGCCTAGGGGCTGGGCCGAGCCTCCCCTGGGTACCTGCTTGGCTGCCAGGGCACCGGTGCCCCAGGAGTCGCAGACCTGGAGGGTGGGGTGGGGCCCAGAGGAGTGGCGGGCGCTGGAGAGGGCAGCTCAGATTGGACTCGAGGGCTGGGCTTGGTCTCCGAGGTCTCCCTGCGGGCGCAGCATAGGGCAGATCAGAGGCCTGTGAGACAAGGAGGCCAGGATGGAGCGCGGAGGAAGGGTGCGAGGTGTGTGGGGATGATGGGTGGAGCTGGCAGGCAGTGTGCGTGTGTGCGCGTGTGTGTGGTCCGCGCAGGGGAGTTGCAGGACCAGCAGCGAGCAGAGGAAGCTGGCTCAGCCCGGGGATGTGGGCTGCCGCCTCCGCCCCTCCCAGGCCCCGCCCCTGGGGCACTGCAACACTGGCCTCTCCCTAGAGGTGGCTTCTTTTTTTTTTTTTTTTTGTACCAGGTACCAGGGATCAAACTCGGGTCCTTGAGCTTGGGAGGCAGGCAGCAGAGCCACTGAGCTAAATCCCCAGCCCTAGGTGGCTTCTGTCTGGTGT